AAAAAAAAAAAAAAAGAGGTAAACCAAAACTTGCAGAGTTAGTGTGATTACAATCCCGGACTCAAATAAAGCAAAGCCGCTGAACCTCAAGCTACTGCCTTCGATTTAACTTGAGTGTAAAACATCAACAGTTAAATCCAATAGAAAACAATCAAATACCCAGTGAATTTTGAACAGCTGCTTTACCCATTACTGGATTTTATCATGTTGCTGAACATTCTCCACGATGGAGATTGATTGAACACGATGGAAATGCACATGAAAATTAAAAAACTTAGTTTTCTTTTCTCACTTGACTATCAGCTTTGCATGTTTTATCTTGGGACATTTGTACATATTGTGTAGTGTTTACTGTGGTTAAAGAAGACAAGAGTCCCACAGCTAAGCACAGTTTTCAATAGACCACTGAGTCTTTTTTCCTTTCAGTGTTACCACAAACTGCTGAGCCATGCTGAGACAAATCAACCACCACAATACTCAAGCTAGACAGAGTGTCCTCTTTATTGTTCACTTTCTTTCAGAGAAAGACACCTTCCTGAACTCAAAGAAACTACCATAAGAATCAAGCAAAAGAATATTGCAAATGAAATAACCACTTTCAAATATACAAATTAAAAAACATGAAACAAAATAGTAGTAATCTCACCAAGGGATAGACAAACATAGCCAAATCAGCAGTTATGAATCCTGGCCTTTTAAAATGTCAGGATTCAGAAATTGAGTAAAACTTCCAGATTTTTGGCAAATTAACACAAATTCATGTGAAAACCTCCTACTGAACTGTTTCATCACTAGGCTTCAGAACAAGACTGACTGGGACAAGATCTGCCACTTTATTTACTTTCCTGTTTGAACAAGCTAAATCATGTCTAGGTTTTGTTTGAACAAATCAAACTAGGGCTATTAACACTTTCACACACACACACACACACACACACACAGTAAGTATAAAAACCACCAGTGTAATAAATAAAAACGTTTTTATGATCAAGTCATGCTTCAGCTGAATGAAGGACATTAATGATGACAGATACTTTATGAACTTAATAAATGCAAGTATAACTTAATAAGAGTAAATAAATACTAAATAAACTAATAATAATAATTCCTACCTCCCATTGGACGAATTACCCCCATTGTTTTTTTCCTGTTCGGCCTCATACACCAGACGGGCGACAGTACGAGGGGTGATGTTAAAATCCACTTTCTCGCAGGAACACATCAGCACCCCAATTTAGCCGGCAAGCTAACAAATAAAGTAGCTTTCGTCGCCAGTTTTCAAATGTAGCCACTTTTTTCTATTTTTTTTTTTTTTCTGTTTAACTATTTCGAGTCAACATACGCAGAAAAATGCGTAAATATCAAATCACACTTCAGTAAATAAACCATGGTAGGCGTTAGCACCGGTCAGCTGTAACGTTACTATTCAGTTGAGGCGAATACTAGAAGCTAGTTAGCATGCTAATAATACCGGTGAGAGAGAAAACGGTCCTCTGTTTACTTTTCCTTATCCGTGATTTCGCCTTTCGACCGTTCCGAAATCCTAGTCACAAGACTAGCACTAGTCATTGTTTGTGCTGTTAAAATATGCCTCCTTAAATTAAATACTTAAATTACATTTCAAGTATACGAACTTTTCCTCAGTTTAAATGCTACGCGAAGAGATAGTAAGAGCTTAGTTTCCAATGCGACGGGCAAAAAGTTGACAGGGGTAGATTCAAACTCCAAAACAAGTACAGTGACGCTTTGAGAAATAAGTAATTAAAGTCTGAACACATATGAGGAGAAAAATAAATATGGACATCGTTGATATTAAAACGCGGCTCAAAGCAGAAAAAATAAATGAATGGAAATTATACTGAATTACTTAACTACACCCCCGCCCGTTTCACTTTATGGTACAGTCGAGCGAGAATCCATCAAAAGACTCTTCAGCGTGCGCAGACCAAAAGTAACGGGTGTTTTGGCGTTGTGTATTAACAGGCCTGCACACAAATAATTCATCTTAAACAGCGATACAGTTCTTAAAATTACAGAAATAAATTAATAGAATATATGGAATATCTAAATGTAGTATATGTGCATATTACCAACGCCTGATTAAGAGCAATAATAAAGCATGACAAGTGACAAGTCATCAAAAATCCAATAAATAATTATAGGCTTCAATCATTCTATACTTAAGATAAATATTAGCTATTCCTACCCTATATAGTTCGTATATAATCTACATCACTAAATTTTCCCAGTCTGACCTGATTTATTTGCTTACTGCGCCCTCTTCAGGACATTAAGTGTAGCGCGTTTAACCTAAACTCAAAATAGAGGAGGAACGCCGTAATAATATGGGAGTCCAACAATGACAGTTGATATTTAATAATAATAATATAGTGGAAATCCTAAAAGAGTGAAGAATGAGTAGGTATTGAATAAAGCTGCTTACCTTAAATGCTTGTTTGAACACTTTTAATAATCATTATTCTATCAAGCAGTGAGAGATGCGTTTGGAATTTATATTTTCTTGTCCGTTTCTCGCCAAGAATAGTCACCTTGCTTTCAGAGGGCTAAAGAAAAACACAGACACTTTATTATGACTATTATTGAGGCGACCTGTTGACCATTCATCTCATATTCTTAACTTCACTGATTAGGTTTTGTTAAAAATTGTAGCTATAAAAACAAAATGATCTCATACTCATACTCATACTTGAAAAAAAGATTTACAGGAAACCACCTAGCTGTAAGTTAAATATTAACCGTTCATATTTAGCCTATGTTTCATGCGGAAAACATTGGGCTACAGTTCATTTGATGTATAGAATGCTATGTAAATTAACTGATATCCAGTCACAGCTTTTCCTGTCAATCAGGTTCCGCGAGAACGTTTCGGTTATTAAAAAAATATTAAATAACCTTGACTCACCTCTTAATTCGATTTTGACAGGGTTTCAGCACGTGCTCTCTCTCGTGCCAGTGAGTCGTCTGATTTTATGAGTTGTGTTGGTAGCGGAGAGATTCCATAGGGTTGTGTTGCTGTCCGTCTGCTGGCACCGAATAGGCATCTGGAAACTCGAGCGGTGCTAAATATAAAAATATAAAAGTTCACCAGCTCGTGGGAGTCGTTAAGGAAATCAAGTGGGACGCTTTGCGTATGGCCGGGTTGTGTTTGTGAAGGGTGGTCTGACGTTTGGAGGACCAAAACAACAACCATCACTCCGTAGAAGTTTATCAGCTGCTCAGTAAACCCCTGACGCAATTTGACATGACATGACATGTTAGTGTAAATACTTTACCTTCACACACAGCCTGCATGGTCTAAAGGACAATGGTCCTTATGTGATTTAGCCTATTTATAAAGCATGTCAGAACAAATAGTAAATAAATAATTTTTTTAAATCTAATAATAATTAGATAAGATAGTGGAATTATCATTTCCATTAGGGGATATTTTGTTAACCTTGCTGTCCAATGAAACGTCCTTGTGCTCAAGACTAAGTAAACTGACATTGAACATCAGTGCCATGAAAAAAAAACAGAGAAGCTGTGTGATAAACCACAGCAAAATAAATCTGTGTCACAGCATAAACACAATTTATCAACTAAATTTTACAGTGGTGCACACTTCCAAATTTCAATCTCTGGACGTTTTGACTTTTTTTTCTGAATATTACAACCAATGATACTTTATTTTCAATTAATGTCACACATTGTGAGGTGTTCGCAAAATTATGAATAATATGTATTAGGTATATACCAAAAAAAACATTATTAATATTTCCTCAGCGAGAAATATTGCAGCTTGTTAATCTTTAAAGGCTTCTTTTATAGAACAGATATAGCATCTTCGAAGGGCACCTGCCACTGTAATTTACTCTAAGCTCATTTGGCAGTAAAATTCTGTGGAAATTCAAGCAGAACTCTTTTGCATGTCGAATCTCTTTTGTGTTCCCTGTGACAGCACTGTATATTGCAAAATCCTAAAAATCTATTCACATCTTTACTGAATACTTACACTTATTCTTAATGAATGTGAGCAGAGCTCCTTTCCTTATCATTTCAAACATTTGCTGTTTAACAAAGGAGGGAAATGCAAATTTTATTATAATTCAGTAAAAACAATCCTGTTTCCATAGTACTACATTTAGCTAACTTGTTTATTCATTTTCAGGAGCACAAACCACACCAACCATAAAGGATCAGGTCTGGATCTCAGTAATGTCCTTGGCTTATAGTCCCTGAAATTAACTCATTATAAGCCAAATACTACTAAAACTAGTTTATTTTGATATCATGTTCATTCCTTAAATCCAACTAAAAATATAAAGATGATTTCTGAGAATTTTGACATTAGGAAAGCAGGCCTGTGTGCTCATTTGATATGGCAAGCCATTTCAACATATGTTCCTTAAAGGAACACTCCACTATTTTTGAAAATAGGCTCATTTTCCAACTCCCCTAGAGTTAAACAGTTGAGTTTTACCGTTTTCGAATCCATTCAGCCGATCTCCGGGTCTGGCGGTAGCACTTTTAGCTGTAGCTTAGCATAGATCATTGAATCTGATTAGACCGTTAGCATCTCGCTCAAAAATGACCAAAGAATTTCTATATTTTTCCTATTTAAAACTTGACTCTTCTGTAGTTACATCGTGTACTAAGACCGACGGAAAATGAAAAGTTGCGATTTTCTAGGCCGATATGGCTAGGAACTATACTCTCATTCCGGCGTAATAATCAAGGAACTTTGCTGCTGTACCATGGGTGCAGCAGGCGCAATGATATTACGCAGCGCCTGAAAATAGTCCCCAGCACGCTCCCTGTGCACGCTCCCTGTGGTTATTTTGGCGGAAATTAGCCTATTTTCAGGCGCTGTGTAATATCATTGCGCCTGAGCGAGATGCTAACGGTCTAATCAGATTCAATGATCTATGCTAAGCTACAGCTAAAAGTGCTACCGCCAGACCCGGAGATCGGCTGAATGGATTAGAAAACGGTAAAACTCAACTGTTTAACTCTAGGGGAGTTGGAAAATGAGCCTATTTTCAAAAATAGTGGAGTGTTCCTTTAAGACTATAGTAGCCTATTTATTTTTAAAATTATTACTAAATGATGTATGTATTTTTAATTTCTCTATAACTATTCATTAGATACTAGATATTCAGTACTTATTATCTAGAGCTTACTATTCCAATAATTAGAAGCAGTTTTTAACTTGACTGGACTATAAAGTTGCTATTTTGAGTAGTCATTAGGTAAAAAAGTAAGATATAGTCTGTCTCGTACACAGATACTTGTATCTAATAATAATAAACAAACTAGTAAAACTGATTTAGGTACCAGTATTAACTGGAATACATTCAAATCAAAAGTGAATTTTTCATATCTGAGATCTCCATAGAATCCAATAGCGCAAAAAAACAAAACAAAAAACTAATAAAAACCAAACAATTACTGTCATTACTGTTGGGAAAGTGATTAAGGAATTGAACTGAATGAACTTAAAGCAATTGAATAGATACTATTGGATTATTTCTAGTACAAGTGCTAGAAACATCAAATAGGTAATAGTTTAAGGGAATAAATGTTAAAACGGCATGCCACGTGATTATTAGGTGATTTTATAGCAACTGGGTGCCCCTCGTCTGAATCTGACTTCTCAAATTGCGTGTTGAGTTGCAAGCGCAAGGATTCACACGGTCTATACTTAGCTCTCCTAAACGTCAAAGTCTGCGGCAAGACACGACCTGTTTTAGTGACGTGATCTGATTTTAAAACTTTTAACGCATTTCTTTAAATTATTTGATCGCTGGAGGACTGTGTTTAAATGTAAGTTTTTAGGAAAATCAATTGAAGAACGCGATTGGGATGAGTTTTGGATTTAAAATAAGAACTGAGGATGTTATAGCCCAGTAATGTTTAAGAAACTGTGATAAAAACAAGCGAAACGTGGGACACATTTTGAGGAAGCGATTTATTAATGCATCGGTTCATACAGCTGTGTGAACTGTGAAAATGGCACTGGGAATTATTTCATTTTTGGCTCTCTGCATCTTTTATATTCAAGGTAAGTTGTAACATGCTAATGTGAAATAATGATATAGGCCTAAACGATTTAGAGAATATTATATATTTAGGGTAAAATTATCGAGTGGATCATTAATTCAATCATCAGAGGGACCAATTCTCACTCTTAACTAGTTGCTTATTAGCATGCATATTACTAACATATTGGCTGTTTATTAGTACTTATGAAGCACATGTTAATGCCTGATTCTGCATGACCATATTTTAGATCCCTTAATTCTACCCCATACCTAAACTTAACAACTACTAACTATTAATATGCAGCAAATTATAAGTTTATTGAGGCAAAAGTCATAGTTAATAGTTAATAGTGAGAATTGGTCCCCAAACTAAAATGTGACCAAAAAGGGACCTACTGCCATACCAGTTCATTGCTTAATGCATCAGAACTCACATGCATCTTTTTCTTGCTTGTTAAACATTCTGTACATCAGTCTCAATGTATCTCATTGTAGTGCCGCAGGGCCAAACTGGATGTGCTGAAGTGGACTCCATGACGGAGGCTGTGGCTGGAAAAGGCTTTCTGTTGGGTTGTATTTCCTGCAAAAGGAGAGAAGAAGTTCCTGCTTCTGCTATTGTTGATTGGCACTTCAAAGCAGCTGGAACTGAGGAGTTTATCCAAGTTAGTAAAGTGATTCTTTGAATCAGATCAGGTTGTTTGGTCAGCTTGATGCATAAATGGCTTTTCACACTTGAACTATTCAATCCTGGGTCATTCTAAACCCCGGGGAAACAGGATCCTGGGTTATCTTGCTTCAGGTTTCACACTCACTGCTCATAATTTACCCGGGGTTAATAATTAATCCTGGGTATTCATAAACTGATGTTTCACATTGTACATTCCTAAACCCTGGGTTAACATTCTTATTTGCATATGTGATATTTTACCCAAGGTTAAAAGCAGGGTTTAGAATGACAATAACCCAAAGTTAAGCATAGTGTGAAAAGCCCTATAGAACTTACAGTAAATGTTTTAAAACAAAGCATAGAAAGTTACTCAGTTTAAATGAGCTGAAAATATTTTTTAAAGACTTAACATCTGATTTTATTCTAGTAATATCTCTATCCCTCTCAGATTTTTCAGTATGAATATAATAACCCCACCATTCTTCATGAAAACTTTGAGGGAAGATTAGAGTGGCAAGGAACTATGTGGACAAAGGATGTGCAAATTGGTGCCATCTTTATTCACAATGTCACATATAATGACACTGGGACTTACCTCTGTACCTTCCACCGCACGCTGTACCTTCCTCTGTGTGAGGAACATGTGGTAATAAATAAAGAGGTGGAACTCACAGTTGTGGAAAAAGGTGAGATCCATTCAAGACCCTCTAACAAGCCAAAAATGTGCATTTTGACAAGTAATTTGAATATCTGAATTTGTTACTCCCCAAGCCAACCCTGAGCTGACGGCTGTGATCTCTGAGATCATGATATACGTGTTGATCACAGTTCTGCAGTTGTGGATGATTGGAGTGCTGATTTACTGCTATAGGAAGATCTACGCTGAGAACGAAGCTCGCGAGGCCAAAAAAGCTGCATGCTCTCAAAACAAGTAAGGCTCACGTTCGTGTTGTTTGTTTCACACAACATACATGTTATTTTATATCTTTCTGATTCAAAATTTCCTGCTTTTATCTTGTGTTTTCACAGACTCGTTGAGTCGAAAGATCCTTGTGATGGCATTTATTTGGAATAACTACAGTTTTGGTTTGTAGGCTTATTATTTTCAGTGAATATAGACAAGGCTGCTAGTATATTTGATACATAGTGTTAAAGGAATAGTTCATCCTAAAATGAAAATTTGCTAAAACTTTACTCACGCTCAGGCCATCAAAGATGTAGCTGAGTTTGTTTCTTGATCAGACCAGATTTGGAGAAATTTAGCATTACATCACTTGCTCACCAGTGGATCCTCTGCAGTGAATGGGTGCCGTCAGAATGTGAATACAAACTGCTGATAAAAACATCACAATAATCCACAAGTAATCCACATGATTCCAGTTCATCAATTAACGTCTTGTGATGTGAAAAGCTGTGTGTTTGTAAGAAACAAGTCCATCATTAAGGCTTTTTAACTTTAAACTGTCACTTCCAGCCAAAATAGTCCATAATCCATAATATCGCTTTCTACAGTGAAAAAGTCAATTTCCTTTTGTCCTCTCACATCAAAATCCACCAACATATTTGTTTAGAACTGTTTTATTACAAACATGCAGGTATGTTGATTACTAGTGGATTATTGTGATGTTTTTATCAGCTGTTTGGACTCTCATTCTGATGGTAGCCATTCACTGCAAATGATACATTGGTGAGTAAGTGATGCAATGCTAAATTTCTCCAAATCTGTTCCGATGAAGAAACAAACTCATCTACATCTTGGATTACCAGAGGGTGAGTACATTTTTAGCAAATTTTCATTTTGAGGTGAACTATTCCTTTAATAATGAGGATGGTGAGGAGGACTAGTCTTGCAGCCAATATAAACCTCTGTATATTTCTAGTGACATTTCTACAGTAGTATAGCATTGCATTGACTAAGCTCACATAGCAATAAAAACAAATACAACATATTGTATTCATAAGACATTATATGCAAAGTTGAATAAGGAATATAAAGAGTCTGAATAAATAAACATTTTAATTGTGAATTACATCAGTCTGAAAAAACGAAAATGGTTTGCGAAAAATAAAATAAAAATCATCTGGTTTCTTGATTTGCTTATTTATTGACTGGTGATAAAAAGATAAGACAAAAGAAAAAAGTATGGGAAACAACATTCAAACAATGGCAAGTTAAAATGTTAAAACACCATTTGTTTGCTGTTATTGTGAAATGGAAGTTCCTTGCTTTCGTTATGTATCCTGTATACTAATTAGACAACAAGTAAATAAAAAACATTAAATGTAAAAATATCCAGGCGTTTTCACTGATGCTCCAGGTCTTCTATCAAGCAAACATCAGTGTCCTTGAGAGCTTTGTATAAGGCATCTTTCCCTTTAGTGCCAGCAGATTTAATTGGGCCCATTAATAATTCTCTCATCTTGATTTGTGGGGTTTTCTCAGCACGGATGTTACTGTAAACCTCCTCTGTGATGACTTTCTTGTCTAGAAGTTCATCTAGGATGGCATCTACGTTATACACTCGTCTTCTCAGCTTTGTCCGATTCCTGTCGATGAAGTGCTCTATGAAAGAGATGGAAACAAGCATGTGGTCGGATTGTGTGGATACTGATGATGGAGTTTATAATAATCAGTGCTATGCATTGTGATATTTTAGGTCATAAATGAACGTTTTAATTACCGATACCAAACAGTAAAGTGATTTGAAACCTATTTTCCAAATAAATGCCGTTCAAAAACAGTTACACTTATTCACCAATAGATGGAGCGCCTGGGCCTGGTAAAGGAACAAGTGGAGCTGCTGAAAAACAAGTTAAAGTTAATGATACTCTTACAGTAAATCTCCACGTTGCACATTCATACACGTGCACAGAAACTATATATATATGGATTAGGTTGTTAATGAAGACTACAGCTAATTATTATTATTACAGATTATTTAACTGGCCTCTTTTCCTGTGCTTAAAATTATTGTTCTCTTAAAACGATTGCAATCAAATGGCGGTTTACACGAAAGTCAAAGGAAATTGAAAGTAAAATTGAGTTGAAGTCAACTCAGGAGTAATTAGAAATAGGAATCAAAAAGAATTCGGATTTGGATTTTTTTTTTGCATTAAAATCCTTTTTCTTTTAAATGGAACCGCTTGTATCTGTGATAATTAAAACGTTATGAATTTAATTTGTATTCGAATTCTTTTATACTAGTTTACTTACATTGTCCTGTGTTCTCTTTGAACTCCGTTGCTTGTTGATTACAGCAAATAGCCTGTAAAATTTCGATTGTTACAGGAACAGCACCAGTCGATGTGAAAGTGTTCACCATTAAATCGGCGAGATCTATAGAATCCTTAGCTTTTTCGATTGCAGCTCGTCGTACGCGAGGCTCTGTCTTCCGGTCGCACAGTTTGCTTTTAAACCTTTTCTGATTTTCCTCCCCCAGATCATCAAAAGTATCTTGCAGGTGATCTTTAATAGTTTTCGCCATAGTTCCTTAGTTCATTAAAAGTGTCGTTCCTCTTCTAAAAGCTGTTGAGGAGGATAAACTGCTGCTAAACAGGACTCGGTGACGTTTGATGTGTAGCCTACATTAGGGTGTGTCTTTAGACTTACTCTAAACATTTCCCGCCCTATATAGGCCACTTTCTTGTAAACATATAGGGTACAAGAACGTGGACTTTGGTGTTCAGTTGCTTTTCTGAAAGCATTAGAAGCACAAATCCCATGTTATTTTGTTGTGATACTTGAAAGGTACGTTTTATCTAGTTTGCAATCTAATACACACCATTTGTAATGTATGCTCTAATTATGTGACCTCACTAGTATAGAAATTCTCAGTATAGAAAGTTGCAGTCACTGATAAATTGAAGGATATCACACACTGTAGCACTCCAGCATCCTGACTCAGCCAAACTGTACCTCAGAGAAAGTCATGATACTTTCCAGGAATACAGAAGGTAGCTGCTGTGACAAACATGCAAAAAAATAAGAAATCAGGAACAACACTTTTTCACACCACTGTATACAGATCTCCCTAGGTTCCTCTAGTACAAGGTTCTGCGGAGCTCACGTGATCTCCTGAATTCGTTGTTAGTTTCACACTGTTAGTTGGGGGAAAAAAGAGGCAGCTTTACTTCCTCAATCCTGAGTCAAACACTTCACAAGCAGCATTTTTTGTGCCTAAGGAGACTGGTATTAGACTGGTTGCTGTAATATCTAATAAAAATTGTTTTGCTCAAAGTCCACCTGTGCTATTATTAGTGTTATAATGCAAAAACTAGCTATAGCTGTTATAAAAAGGAAGAGCTATGTTAACATTTGTTTATAAAACATAAAGTAACTTTTAGAATTTTAAATTGTTTAAAACACGTTGGACAACAAATGGTTTCAGATAGAAACACATTAGTCACTCAACACGTTATACACACATTTTTAGCGAGTGTATTGTAATATATCCCGGTGTCGTTTGAAGGTCTTTATGGTTTCGTATAACACACAACAAAAAACTCGTTTGTGCAAGACAGGACTTTTATGTATTAGAACAGGTTTTCTTTCCAGAGAAAAGGCAAAGTTATTGATTCATTTGTAAACAATTAGGCCTACTAAAACTGTTTAAGAATTTTTTTTTCTTTTTTTGAAAGAACTTTTTTCAGACATACAGTATAGAGATGGTTCAGGCTACGCTGGAGATTCAAAATTCACAGATGAGGAGTCAGAACATGTACAACTTGTATATCAGAGCCCCGGAAACAGGTAGAAGAACTTTGGCAGCGACGCTCTGTCTTTACATGCCATTTGTCTGAAGCGCCCCATCAAATCTGAGCTGTCAAAGCGTCTAATAACCTGTAAAAAGAGAACATAATGAACATTGGTGACAAGAAACCAAAGTTCTGAAGGTTATGAAAAATACTTTTGATCTTTTTTTAAAAGAAACATAATTCACTCTGATTGCTCTTGCAGCAGCATCTGATTTACCTTCCTGAACAATTCCTCAATGTGATCCTCATGTGCATGTTTCATTAACACATCCACTAGGTTTTGGACATAAAATGTTCCATTCTGAACATGCCTGTAAGATTTGGTGTCTGTATACAGACAGAGAAATTTCAATAGTGGAATTAGGTGCTTTTAAACTTTACAAACAATAATGAAACTGACATTGAATAAGCTACAAAATATGTTTTGGTGAAATTTATTCATGAATTTTTTTGGTTGGTCATGATTCCCTTCAATTAAAGTTTTTAATACATCTTCATCTAATGAAAACAAAGTTCAAATGCAAACAGAATTTTTTACCCGGCGTGCAGGACATCAGAGAAATGAAGTCTTTCTCCGTGTGCACAAAGTCATCGCCCTCTTGAATAAGCTACAAAATATGTTTTGGTGAAATTTATTCATGAATTTTTGTGTGTGGTCATGATTCCCTTCAATTAAAGTTTTTAATACATCTTCATCTAATGAAAACAAAGTTCAAATGCAAACAGAATTTTTACCCGGCGTGCAGGACATCAGAGAAATGAAGTCTTTCTCCGTGTGCACAAAGTCATCGCCCTCTACAGCCATCGACTCATCAGGCTCACCGTCACTGGACCACACGCGTCCATGCTCCCCTGAAAAGATATTTGGATAAGAATGTGTAAACCTTTTTCAACAGCACAGGTGAGATGTGTAGTTATTATAATGATGAGACCTCAAATATCAAAAACAATGAACAACTGTATTTTTTCTGTCATTTTCATACCTCCCCTGCAGGCTTGGATAAGAATAACCTTTGGTTTATCACGCAGACCTGGACAATTCTCAGTGTTCAGACAGCGGTAGACTTTATCAATCAGGAAGGTATCAGAGGGATTGGATATTGGATTATAATGGACACCCAATATGGCATCCCTTTTGCCGTGGGACATTATAACCACAAAGGTGCTGTCTGAATATGCATGTTCTTGACGTTTAGCAAAGTCCTTGACTGCTTCCTCTATGTCCTGCCAATCAAATAAACTCGATTTAAAACACAAAATCAAGACACTTATAATAAATACAATAAGATAAACATTTTAGATGCATAATAATAAAAGATAAAGGTTTTCAATAAAAAGCTGTATGCATCATCTGAATACTTTTCTCTACAAATCAACTAGTTTCATAAGATCAGACTTGCGCACCTTTGCAGAGAGATTTTTGTACTTGACAACTTGATAATCCAGCTCTTTTAACAGCCATTCCATGTTGTCTTCATCTCTGTCCGCCCCTCTTCTTGTCATATCTTTATCATCAAAATCTATGTTGTTGATAAGCAGGGCAAGACGTTTTCTTACAGACTTGTCTTTTATTTTGTAAATCTAGAAAAAACAACCAAGAAATGTTAATGCAGAATTAAACCACAACCAATTCAATAGCAAACTATAGCAACTGTCATTCAAGCTATAGCTCTGTGTCATTAGAAAGACTATTAATGTGTATTATTAACAAAAACTATGTTGGATGGATACTTGCCTCCTGTCCATTTTCTCTAAGAATTTTGTTTTTAAATTCTTGGCTGCATGGAAGAACATGTAATTTTGTGTGCCAATCATCTGACAGAGCAAACTCGACCTTCAGACCCAGACCTGCTCCTGAGTCTACTACATCCACACGTGACCGGGCCACAGGTAAACCTAGAAAGCAGAAAACAGGTCATGAGCATATCAGTAATCCTATTTTAATATATACGATACTACTCACTCCTATGTTTTGACATTTAAACCTGAAACCCCAGACTGCAAGTCCCCATATGTTCAGAAGTTTAAAAAAATAAAAATACCACCACGAAATGATTTTCATTCATTTGGATTAACAGTTCTTGAATGTGCATTCTAGGCTACGGAACATCATACTAAAATACTTTGACAGCGTTTCCTGCACTACTTGTCACCGTAAAGCACTAGGTTACTGAAACTACAGCGCGATATATAGGCTACAACGACCACTGTGCTTCCGAACCATAAATTCAAATCCGTCTAATCGGATTCGAAACGAAACTAATTGCTGCTTTTACACTACCACTCGCCGGTGTTGGGCCCAATTTCGACCCCCTGCCAAATTATTACCCCCCTCATTGCCTACCTGATAATCCTAACCCCGCCCCTAATTATAACTCCTCCCTCTAAACCTGCCAGTTAATGGAGCTTGCTGACAAAATTACAAAATCAACCTGTCTGCAACAAGTCTAAATGTATGGTCTATATACTGTATAGTCTTGCAGTTAACTGTAAATGACTTAAGCGACGATACAGTTGTGCAGTGCGAAAGGAATAGCAATCCAATGACTTTGAAAGTAATATGATGAGTTGGCGGTATGCTTTAGACCAGAGATGCCCAAATCTTTCATTCTGAAGGGCCAACAATCCTTAACAAAAGCGCCAAGAGCAATTATATACAAATATACAATTTTTTTGTAGCCTAAATTAAATTCACGTCCAGTATAATAAATTTCAATGCAAAAATACAACAAAGTGTGTTAAAACACAAAGTAAATTAGAAATGAGGATATGCTGCGATGGCATGTTGTAGCCTATTCTTCCTCATTTTGGCCCGCGGGTATGGAACGATATTCCGGACAATTTTCAAAAGGAATTGCAAATTGTATTTTCAACTGCGTTTTAAATTACTGAACATGGACTGATACTGTTTCATATGACAACGTGTTGTTAAAGATGGCCTACATAATGGGTTTTGTTTAAATTTTATAAATAGGCCTACGAATGAATCTATGTTACCATAGCCTACTTTTGTTAATATTAGCCTACAATGTTTATATAATAATAGGCATACTATATTGCATTTATGATTCCTCTAAAGAAGATCTGGAAAGTTTTAAAGTTTTGGTAAAGAATTGTTTTCATTTTCTGATTTGCATTTGTTTTTCTTGAAAGCTAAAACTATTGGCAACAGACAGCCGTTTTCCTTCTAGCCTACATTTAGTTTCGTATCTTTCACAATAGTTTACTTACATTGTCCTGTGTTCTCTTTGAGCTCCGCTGCTTGTTCGTTACAGCCAATAACCTCTAAAATGTCGATTGTTACAGGAACCGCACCAGTCGACGTGAAAGTGTTCACCATTAAATCAGCGAGATCTATAGCGTCGGTAACTTTTTCGATTCTAGCTTTTCGGACTCCCTGTTCTTTCTTCCGATCGCAGAGTTTATTTTTAAAACTCTTTAGCTCGTCCTTCCCAAGATCATTAAAAGTATCCTCCAGATGCTCCTTAATATTTTTCGCCATGATTGCTCAGACGTTTCGTGCCTCTTCCAGTGGCTGTAAAAGGTTTTCACGGAGGCTTGTACATAGCCTACATACGCCCCCTGTGATCTCTGTGTCGCCTGCATGTTTGTTTCACTTTTTTTTCTATATTGACCAATGAACAAGTCGATAACCATAAATATTCATGCACACTCCACCTGTAGGTGACTTGCGCCTTTTAGTAAGAATCTCACAATCCATATAGTTTTTGTTGGTTCTCAGGGTAGCAAACTTTAAAACATTTCACCCATCTGTAATAACAGAGTATAAAGAAACTTGGGTCCCACTTTATATTAAGTGGCCTTAACTACT